GGACAAAATGTGCGACAGAGGAAGTGTAACGTAAGACACAAAAAGACGGAATGGTAGACCTAGGTCGGCATCGACGATGAAAGCATCTGCTAGAAGATGCAGTCGTGCTCGTAGTATAAGGATTAAATGGGAAGACGAACCGAGGTATGATAGAGAGACCGCGGATACGGGCGCGATTCGTCGACCGAGGAGAGCCGGCCCGACCCCCTTCCGAGGGTCGAGGGGGGAGGTGGGGGGTGGCACGACCCAATGCCGCCGCATTCGGCCCGGGGAGACCTTGGCCGGGCCGTCGACGCCCTCGGAATCGGGGGAGCCGGGAGAAGCTGGCGAAGACGAAGGGCGGCAGCGAAGAAAACGACACCAACAACGAGGTAAACGACCCACACCGGTCATCGCATAACGCCCGGGAGACGAGCAAGAGAGCGAATCAAGGAGGGTCGGAACCTGGAGAGACGGGGGGTGAGCCCTCTGGCGGGGGGTCTACTCAAGTGCGCCTGCGCAATAAGTGAGTGCAGAGTGGTGTGGTGTGGGGCGTGCAGTGTGGTGTTCATTAGCTCCGAGTAGAGGGGGCGTCCTGCAGTTAAGGGGAAACCCGGTACGCGGGGCTAACCCTCGGACACCCGTGATGCAGAATTTCATCATCACCGGCCGCAAAAAAGACGCCAGCCGTCAGCAGGGTAAATTTATTCTATCGAAAGTGAAGCAAAAGCTCAGCCTTGAGTTCTCACCGCCAATGGCAAAATCCGACTCCCATCTCCCTCCATCGGCGTGGCGCCGCCCCATGGTGCCGGGAACCCTATTCCGGAGCGATTTCCCCTAGGGTTAGCGCAGAATGAAAAAGTCGGCACCCTTAGCTCCGGCTAGGGCTACTGCTCTGGCCCTCCGAAGCCGACCAGGAAGGGGTGAAATTCTGAAAAACGTGCAGCACTTCTAGCCGACATCGACAAAAGTCACTCTCTAGCCCCGCGGCGAGCGGCCCCGCCGGAGGCGAAGAAAATTTTGCCATCTAGCGCTCTCTAACACACAGTTTTGCACAAATCAACGCCTCCAAACAAGTTCAATAAGACTGGTCTTCACTGCAGCACGCCTCGAGCGAGTAATGCGTCTGTAGGCCAATATAATAGAGCTTCTCGCGCGCGCTCCTCAGCTGGCGGTCCGCAGGGCCGCCCGGGCCGGGCGAGAAGCGCAAGCCCGCCAGCCGCACCATGTGATTCACGATGATGAGCGTCTCGGCCTCGAGCAGCGTGTAGGAGCGAAGCTTGCCCTCGCACTCGCGTTGCTCGAGCCTGAGCCACTGCGCCTTGACCACGAGATAGCCCGCGGGGATGGTGTCGGTGTTGACGACCGTGTCCTCGGCCAGCGTGTACGCCTTCCCCTTGAGCACCGCCAGCCAGTAGAGCCCCTCGAGCGACTGCTCGCGCCGATATCTGCGCGGCGACAGCGGCCTGGACAAGTCCGGCCAAGTCGGTTACGGGGAGGGCTACTACGAGGTCTTTGCGCGGGGGTGGTCGGGCGCCAGGCGCCCAGTCGATTGCCGCATAGTTCGTCGTAGTAGCCCTATCATAAACCTCTTATTCACACCTTGCACTTTGAAAAAAGAAATATCCGACCTTTGTCGAAGATCCGGAGGGTTTATCAGAGCATCACCCGAAGGGTTGACTAGGGTTAGCATTATAGCGGACTGAGAAGGCCTCCCACACACCCGCGAGGATATGGTTGTGTGTGGGTCGCCTCCCTCCCCGACTCGGACGGCCGCCTCAGAGGGCGGGCATGCTTCCTCTCGCCCTCTCACCCGCGGGTGGGTGATATGGCCGAGTCCCCACGGAGCCGCACGCTGCCTCTCCTTGGACGCAAGGCTCCGACTTCCATAGAGAAAACCCCCATTCAGCCACCCACACTTTCGATGGTGAGAGGCGTACGTACGTGTATGTGCCGACCTGTTAAGACGCTTTACTTGCGAGCAGTGCGTGAACCAGAGGGCGAGGGCACCGCGCCATGGCTAAGGAGGCAGGGAAGCTTCTGCTCCAAGACGGCCCTCAAGACGGCGACCGCTGCCGTCGGTCAATTCTTGGTTCTTGGAGCACTTGGAGTGCAGTCATTATACATTAACCTCACATCCAGGGCCGGGGAGCTGAGAAGCGCACCCAGCGGGCCGGATGATCGGGATCGGGTTACGGGCTAGAGAGCCCTAGCCCCGGGGGTGCGCGTTCGCAGGGAAAGGGCCGTAAATTAAACACGGGTCTCCGAGGGTTGGCCTCGCGCTTCAGGAATTCTTTATTCTTTACGAGCGAGGAGGCCTTCCATCCACCTTTGCACAGCCGACTTGTTGGCGTTGACAAGCGCGGGCGTTCATCCACCCTTTGCCTTGGCGAATTGCGCCTCGCCCAATGGCCTCGCCCACGGTGGTCAAGTCGGGCTTCTTGCTAAAGGCGTCACGGCACACCCGCACGTGGAAGTCGCGGTGGGTCGCGGTGTCACACGAAGACGGCTCCTACTACCTCTCTTCGTTCCGTCGTGGCTCGGCCGTCTTCTCAGCCCGCCATTCAACAGAGCGGATGAATCTCCGAGGTGCCACAGTGCTGCTGGTGACCAAGGACGACTTGGCGTGCCCTCCAGGCGTTGTCGGTAACCACATTTTTGCTCTCGCCCTCGCCGACCTCCGCGTCTTTCACTTCTGTTGCGTCGAAGCCGACAACAGCTGGCTCCTTGCCATCAATGCCTGCATCGCTGCTGCTGACGACCGGGACGACGCGTTGCAGTCGGCCAACCGCGTAGCTCTCGCTCGTGCGATGAGGAGCTGGCGAGGCGGGTGTAAGAGGGTGGACGGTGGCCCTCAGCCGGTGCACAGCATACACCTTCGCCTGCGCCGGGCGGTGCGGTGCTGGCGTGAGCGCTGCGTTGCACTCTCCACTGCCTCCGCGGCGCTGCGAGCCACAGAGGCTTCGCGGCCGCGCCTGCGGCGTGCGTTTGCTGCGTTGCGACGGGCGGGCAGTGGCGGGCCAGAGCGCGGAGAGGTGGTCGCGGCTGTATGCAGGGCGAGGCTGCGGCGTCTCGAGGTTGGCTTCGCGGGTCTGCACCACGCCTCGAGGTTCTGGCCGATGCGGCGCGGCTTGGTGGCACGGCTGCAGCGCGACGCGCCACGGCAGCGGGTGCTTCGCGTGTGGCGCACGTGGGCGTCGGAGAGGTGGGGCGAGGCGCAGCGCCGCGCTGCCGCAGAGACCTTGCTCGAGGCGCGCACACCGCGCAGCAGAGGGGTGGCCGTCAGCTGTGCTTTCCACCGGCTCGCCGCGCACGGCCGGCGACAGAGGAGCGAGCGCGCGCTGGGGGTCCGCCGGGCGCTGCTGCAGTGGCGGCGGGCCGCCGCAGCATCGCGGCCGCGCCGCGAGATGCTCGAGATGCGCCGTCACAACGCGGCGCTGTTGTCGCACGTCGCCTCCCTCGCGGGGACGGTGCAGACTTTGGCTGTGGAGGCGCGGCTCGAGGAGGTTGCGGAGCAAGAGGCGCTGCTGCTTGAGCGGCTCCAGGAGGATGACGCCGACGCCGGGGCGGTCGCCAAGCTGCACGCCCTCCAGGCCGAGGTGGCCGACTTGCGGAGGCTGGGAGAAAGCCTCATCTGCGGCGGCGGCGTCGACGGGTACGAGGCGTTCGACTCGAGCGCGCCGCGGCAATACCCAACCGACGACGGTTCATATGAACCTTTCGCTTCTCCTGGCCCCGCCTCGCCGACCTCCTCGTCGAGCGGCCAATACTTTAGCGCCAGCGATCGGTCGGACCAGCCGGCGCCATAAACAGAGGGGCACGGGGCACACGGCTCTAACTGTGCCGTTATCATTCCGCGCAAAACAAGTTTTTATGTTTGTATGATTAATTCAAAAACCAAATCTTGCGCGACACTTACAAAGAACCCTGCACAAAGATCGCAAGGGCGGGGGCCTGTTCCTTTTTACCCATCTCACAGTAGAGAGGTGTCCGTTTTTATTTATTTATTTATTGTCTGTGATATCTCTGTGTGCGGTCCGGTGTGGCTGTGTGGCGTGCGCGGGGCGCGCCACTCGCGCATCAATACACATACAAAAATAGGCCACGACTGGACCAGGCTACAAACTATACTCTTCTCTGCTAGTGCTGACAGGTCGCGAAGTGGTGTGATCAGACGTCGATCAAATAGTACAGAGGGTACATCTCCTCGGTGGGCTACTGGCGGCCCGCACGAAGCAGCTCCTCGAGCTTGGCGATGAGGAGCTCGAAAGTCTGCTCCCGCATGAGCAGCTCGAGCCGCACGTGGCAGGGCTCAGCGCCGAACTCGCGGCCCGACCGGCCGACGATGCCGTAAGCAGCCATCGCCGCGAGCGCGTCGCCGCCAAACGCCTCTGCTGAGTTGAGCTTGATCCACGCGTACGCCGGCGAGGGCGCGTACTCGACCTCTCCGGAGAAGGCGTCGGTCGCTGGCGCATCGCGCGGCTCGAGCGAGAAGAGCGCCGCCTCTTGGCCGGCCTCTGGCTGGCCGGCCTCTGGCTGGCTGGCAAAGAGAGCCTAGGGTTCGGGTGGGGCCCAGGGTTGGGGGTGGAGAAGAGCGCCTCTGGCAGGCTGGCAAAGAGCGCCTCGAGCCGCTCCCACCGGCGGAGCATCCGGCCGCGCGCGAAGGTGAAGATCTCGCCGCCGGAGCCGACGACGTGCTCGAGGACGGCGAGGGCGCGCAGCTGGTTCTCGCGCGGGGAGCCGAAGGTGGCCTGCGTACAAGCACTCTGGCTCGGACGAGGCCGTATACGCATTGCTCTCGCGCGGGCTAGCGGGAGGGTGCCGTCTGGACAAAGTCCCTCATCCGGGCCGCGACGTGCGGGTCGGAGCAGAGGGCCCAGCCGACGCGGGTCGAGGCGTGGCCAGTCATCTTCGAGAGCGTGAAGAGGGCGACCTGGTGAGGTGCGGGGCGAAGGATGGCGAGGTGCGGGGCGCGGGCTAGGGTTAGGGTTACAGGGTGAGGGTGAGGGTGAGGGTGAGGGTGAGGGCTAGAGGCGGTCGCCGTCGAGTTGCCGTACGCGACGGGAGGGCCGACGGCGGTGAAGTGCGGCCAGAGGTACGCGTGGTCCATCACGGCGCTGCTGTGAGGCCCGGCCACGCTCGCGGCGCGCGCGTGGCCGTCCGGGTTGTTTGGCGACGTGACGAGCTCGATCAGCGGCCGCTCCGCCGTGGCGGGCGGCGGCGAGGAGGCGTTGTCTGCCGCCCACTCGAACCCAGCCGAGCGGAAGAAGGTCGCCGACTGCTTGTAGCCCGAGTAGTAGGGGGCGCGCGACCAGACGCTCGCAGTGGCCTCATCTTGGGTGGGGGAGAGCGCGTAGAGGGCGGCCGCGATGAGCTCGGTCGAGCCGATCCCAACCACCACCTCACGCCTGCGGGCAGGGGTGAGGTGCTGGGGCGCAGGGCGTATCACTGTCGGGAGACGCTCGAGGCGAGGCGCACCCGTCGGTGACGGCGTTGCCGACCAGCCCGTGCAGGCTGCGGATCGCCGCCTCGAGCCGCGGCACGTGGGCGTCGTAGCCGATGTGGTACGAGGGGAGCACCGAGAGGGGAGCGCTGCGCGGCCGCGCGAGCCAATAGTCCTCGAAGAGGTAGGGGGTGCCGGAGTTGGCCACGACGACGCACGCCTCCCCTTCGAGCCGGGTGGAGCAGCTCGGACCCTCGAAGCAGTCGAAGCAGTCGCAGGCGTCCTCGCCCGGATAGAGCATGCCGTTGCCGCCGCACGCCTCCCGGCTGCGGTCGACGACGACGACCCGTGTGGCCTCCGGCTCTCGGCTCAGCGCGAGGAGGAGCAGAGCGGCGAGGCCCGCGCTCAGACAGCACGAGAGGGCGAGCGGCACGCGGGATCGCGCTGTGTGGGTGCCAGGAGTGTCGACCACCAGAGACGCGCGCATCGAGTGGGGCGGCGAGTCCTCGAGCTCGAGAACCGCCTCGGAGTCGCACGTGCGGAGCTCCTGGCCGCGCCGTGGGCTGCTGCCGACCGGCTTCGCGTTCGGCGAGGAGTCCGGCATGTCGCCAGGTAACGACACGCTGCCGCCAAAGTTGACCAAGACCCAAATCGTCACTGCGGCGAACCCTGGCGAGTACAGACCACGCCTCACTTTTTCACAGGGGGGTCTGGAAAAAGGAGGCGTGTGACAAGTGGAGGGTTGGATCGCCGTCTTTCGGCAGACAAAATAACCTCCAACTCCCTCAGTCTCTAGGACTCCCCTCTCAATGACCACCGCCGTCTTTCGGCGAGGATGGGTGTTGGAGCCCTCTTTGCTCAACATGCGGCCTGCTCTGCCGCCTCAACGAGACCGCCGCGCGCGCGCGCGCTCGGCATGCCTGCTGCTCGCCTGCCGACCTGGCCAGGCCGCGCGTGGCTGGCGCCAGCTCGTCATCGCAGCGGAGCACCGGAGGCGCGGTTTGCCCGCTGCTGGCTTTCGCCCCGCCGGCGGTTCCACGTGAGTCCAGCACAGTCCGGAGCCGAAACCAGCCGGAAATGTGCCTCCTCACAGCTCCTCATGGATCTGCGAAGAGAACCGTCGAGTCTATTCAAGTCTTCAGCCGGTCCGGCTCGCCCCTCGGGGGCTTCATTCAAGCGTGCTGTGTGAGTGTTGAGGTGATACGAGCGCGCGTGGGCGCGGCGCGAGTGCCGTTTTGGGTCTCTTTTATACCAGTGATGAAATATAAACCGACTTTACCACGCGCGCGCACGCGCGCCGCGCTCCTCGACTCTCTCGCACCCGCCCCGAGCCACGCCCCTCACGAGATAGGCGGCTGCGACCCTGAGAGTGCGCAGCGGTGCCGCTGGCGTGCTCACCACACCCACCCATCATGCCTGCATCATTCCTGCACGCACTGCCCGGTCTGGCCGGGGCGTGGGGCGAGATCTGGCAGGGCGGCGCGCTTGAATTGAGCGCCTTTGATCGTCTCGCGGCGACTGCTCGCAGGCCGGGCGGCCAGAAACTGTGCCGCTCAGCCATCCGCCGAAGCGAGCGCGCCGGCGCGGTCCGCCGCCGGCGCGCTCGGCTCAGTGTCTTCAAGCGCGCCGCCGGTGGGGAGCTCCGCATGCCGCACGCCTGCTTTTCGCTGCGCATGCTCGAGTCCCCGGCGAGGGCTTGTGCTGTGAATAGCAGGCGTGGTCTGTACTCGCCAGCGGCGAACCAGTGCATGCTTCGAGGAAAAATAATAAACCGCCGCCGCAATGAATGGGGTTTTTAAGGTGCTCCACAAAGTTAGACACAAAAAGATATAGCATTCCAGGCCATTTATAGGGCCCCTGACGATCACTGCTCACGCCGCCGCCGCCCTCCACCTCGCTCACGCCGCCGCCGCCCTCCACCTCGCCCGCGCCTCCGCCGCCGCTCACGCCTCCGCCGCCTTCCATCTCGCCCACGCCTCCGCCGCCCTCCACCTCTCCCATGCCGCCCCCCCCGCCCTCCACCTCGCCCACCCCTTTGCCACCACCCTCTCCTTCGCCGCCCCTCGCCCCCACCGTCCTCCACCTCCACCCCTCGCCCTCCCCCCCGCCCTACCGAACCACCCGCCGCCCGCCCATGCCGACTTCCGCCCTCCCGCCGCCCTCCCCCCTTTCTGCCCCTCCGCCTTCGCCATCCCCCATCTGTGCATTCCACTCCGTTCGCTCCCTCCCGCTTGGCGCCCATCCCGCCCTCCGCCCGCCCTCCCCCCTTCCTGCCCCTCCGCCTTCGCTATCCCCCATCTGTGCGTTCCACTCCGTCCGCTCCCTCCCGCTTGGCGCCCATCCCGCCCTCCGCCCTCGCTCTCCGCCCCTGCCCTGGCTGGCCTGGGTGGCATCTCCCCATTATCACGCGCCAAGTGGGAGGGAGGTGGACGGGGCCCTGAGCCGACCTAGCCCTAAACGGAATGGGGCGCCCAACACGTGCCCGGATTACTGTGCCTTCCCCGGGTGCAGCCTTTCGGCTCGTGAAGGGTCGGTGCGTGTCGTGATCCCCTGGAACACCCGTACTCTCCCGCGCCATCTCCGTCGCCCTCTTCGGCTGCGGCCTTACCACCAAGATCGGGAGGCGGCCAGGGCTCATAGACTCGGTCGAGAGACCCCAGATTGGCATCCATGCCTCTCTGGACAGGGTGGCCCGCCACAACGACCCCTGGAATTGCGACTCGCCGCTTTCCTCCCGCTGTGATTCTGTGTGAGCTCTGTGTCTTGATTTGCCAACAATATACCTATACTGAGTAGGCCAAAATCCCCACTGGGCCGGGAGCAACCTCTAGTGGACACGACACTGTACACCATGCACATACACAGGTCCTCACTTCATCGCATCTTTCTTCCTTCCGCATCGTCCCGCCGTCGTTGGGTATCACGCCAATAACACAGCAGTCTCGGAACACCGAAGTAGAACGTCATTTTATCGATCTTCTGCCTGTACTCGTCAGCACCGGCGGCAAGCGGTAGCCATCGATTATCATCGCAGTGGTACAGCTGGGCACCGCGTTCTCCAATTGCAATGAGCAAGCGCGAGCTCACACGCATCAGCGAACTGACGCTCCCCATGCCCAGTGGTGGCGTCAATGCGGCCCAGGCACAACGTGGACCCATGGATTGAAAGCTACCTCCCTCGCCCAGAATGGCGATGCTGTGTCCATCAGGCAGCAGGCACGCAGCATGCCTGCCACCCTTGCCGTCGTCGATCATATCAGCCAGGCGGACCCAGCCGGCGTCGTGTTGGGGGAGGGTTTGCAGGCTATCTCTGGGGTCTCGAGGCCCGCGATGCGGGCCAGGGCCCCGCACATATGACCATGGCGCGCTCTCGATCCGGGTCTCTCGCACATTGTGCATCCGGAAGCACGCAACGCCAGGCTCCTCCGTCGGGCCCCATTGACCCCACCCCTCGGTTTCACCTCCAGCAATGACAATGTCATGGCCAAGAGCATTGGCGTTAGGCACGCTCACCACGGCCAAGCGCCCAGCAATCACATCGGTATCGATTGGAGCCATGCAGGAGCCATGGTGTGCTCAGCCTGTGAAAGCCAGCAATCTGCCAGTATGCTGTAGCAAAGCACGTCGGATGCATAACGCGGTAGTAGCCTCCGATAACTAAGACCCACTCTCCGACTTGGCAAGAACCCGCGGCGTAGCGTTCTGCGCCAGGTGGAGCATCTGCGACGCGTGTCCAGTGCACGCGCACAGGGTCAAAGATATAGGCAGCACGCGAAATAGATCTGTCAAAGTCACCGTTGGGTACAAGTGGACCTTCATTCTGAGTCATATTTTTACCGCCGTAATAGAAAATCCTCCCATCATCTAGCTTGCACACGATTGGGAGCATGCCTCCCTCGCACGACACTAGGCACGGGACTGGCGCGCACTGGCACTAACACATAAGCGAATAAAAGAATTTTAAAGCATAAAAGAATTTTCAGAAATGTTCGCTTCCCTCTCTCAATGAAGAATTCGCAGCTGGGTTATGTTATCGGATACGTGTCTCCAGGCATACACACGCTATGGCCCCAACGACCACGCCTCGACCTTCTTGGGCAGCAGCTGCTTCGACAGGTCCTCTCCGTGGCCTAGGCAGCCAGTCTCGCCCCCGCCCCAGCTCCACACAGCGCCGTCGGCGATGGCGATGCTGTGGTATGTTCCAGCCGACACAGCGACGACGCACTCGCCAGCAAAACCCTCGACCTTCTTGGGCAGCAACTGCGTCTGCTCGTCGCCGTGGCCCAACTGGCCAAAGACTCCATCGCCGCTTGCTTGGCCTCCATATCCCCAGCTCCAGACAGCTCCGTCAGCGGTGATTGCGAGGCTGTGTGCGGCGCCAGCCAACACAGCCACGACGCGCTGGCTAACAAAGGCCTCCATCTTCGTTGGTAGCAGCTGGTGCTGCTCGTCGCCGTGGCCCAGCTCGCCATTGCCTCCATAGCCCCAGCTCCAGACGGCGCCGTCGGCGGTGAGGGCGAGGCTGTGGTTGGTTCCCCCCGAAACAGCAACGACGCGCTGGCCGGCAAATGCCTCGACCTTCTTCGGCAGCAGCTGGTTCTGCTGGTCGCCGTGGCCCAGCTTGCCAAAGCCTCCCCAGCCCCAGCTCCAGCCGGCGCCGTCGGCAGTGATGGCGAGGCTGTGGGCGTTTCCAGCCGACACAGCGACGACGCGCTGGCCAGCGAAGGCCTCGACCATCTTGGGCAGCAGCTGGTGCTGCTCGTCGCCATGGCCCAACCGGCCAAAGGCTCCATAGCCCCAGCTCCAGACGCTGCCGCCGACGGTGAGGGCGAGGCTGTGGTAGCCTCCAGCCGACACAGCGACGACGCGCTGGCCAGCCAAGGCCTCAATCTTCTTAGGCTGCCACTGGCTCTGCCTGTCGCCGTGGCCCAGCTGGCCACAGCCTCCACTGCCCCAGCTCCAGACGGCGCCGCCAGCAGTGAGGGCGAGGCTGTGCCCATCTCCTGCCGACACGCTCACGGCGCGCTCACCCAGCGTCGACGGGAGGCGGGTCGGCGTGTTGAGCCGCGCCACGCCCTCGCCGTGCCCGAGCAGCCCTGGGAAGTAGGACAGAGCCGAGCCGCACGACGACAGCCGCCCCTCGCCGTCGATGAAGACGCTGTGCCGTTCGCCTCCCGCCGCCCTCGCCGGCGGGTTGGACTCGCACAGCAGCGCAGCGTAGCACAGCCACCGCACGGCGCAGCTCTCGCCCTCTGGCTGCGCCGGCAGCTCGAAGCCGCGCTCTTGCGC